GCTGGAGGCTTTTACCCTGTTGATGGAGGTGACAATGTCAAGAGTGTATACTGACATTAATTTGTGAGCACTGTCTATGGCTCTTTGTGTTTCAACCACACACAAATAAGGAGGCAACGAAAACACATCTTATGTTACCAACATGCATGACCCTCACCCTGGAAAACAGGTGAAGGAAAGGAACCTCACAGAGAGGGAACTGACCTGAGCATTTGTGACAGCGGGGACAGATTGGTGTCACTTCTGTTATCCCCTTTCCTTTCAGGAGCTTTGTGGAATCTTTGAAAGGCAGTGATCTGGCACTGCACTTGTGTCTGAACCCTTCTTGAGGTGTGAAGGACAGGTGTTACGCTGCCATCTACATTTTAGATGGAGAAATAGAGGTCAGAGGTGGAAATGACGTATCTAAAATACCTCTGGCAGAAGTCACTTCCCAAACCCCTTCATCACTTACATAGATCAGTCCATGCCTGCCTGTTCAGTCTACAGTTACCAAGTACAGTAAAGAGAAGTATGGAAGAGGACGCTGGGACTTCAGAAGGACCTGGCTTCAAGTCTGGACTCTGCCGTTTACTACTGAGCAACTTGGAGAAGAGTGTATAACTGATTTCTTTTTGCCTCCTTTTCTACTTTGACAAATGGTCCTTTCAAATGCTGTCCTACTTTGTTTTTTCATTGCTGTGACAAAATACTCTGACCACTACCAACCTACCAACTTGGGAAGGAAAGGGTTTATTTATCTTACATCCCCCAGGTCACAGTTCATCAGGGAGCCCAAGGTAGGAACTCAGGGCAGGAAACTGGAGGTAGGAGCTGGAGCACAGGCCGTGGAGGAACACTGCTTACTGGCTTGCTCCCCTGGCCCCTGCTCAGCCTGCCTTCTTATGCAGCACAGGCCCACCTGCCCAGGGGTGGCACCACCCACAGTGGGCTGGGCCCTCCCACACCACTCATTAAGAAGATGCCCCACTGACATGGCCACAGGCCAGTCCAATAGAGGAAATTCCCCAGTTGAGGCTCCCTCAACCCAGGTATGTCAAGATGACACTAAAGCTATCCAGCACAAATGCTTTTGAGAACTATGTAAGGAAGATACTACTATAGGAAAGGATCAGAGCAAGCCCTCAGTAAGTAGTACTTTTAAGTATAATGAAGAAAAATCAACTCATGGATTCTCAAACCTTTACCTCCTTCCTTTAACTCAGGTAGAGCATCTGTGTTCGTTCCATGTTACACTTTGGTCCACCTCTTACTTCACCTGTAGGTGTGACAGATACTTTTATTCATTCTGTTTTTTACCTCAAGTAGGTACTCTTGATATTTTTCTGCTTTAAAGCTTTTATTTTCAAAGCTTACACTGAAAGTATCAAGAGGTTAAAGCCCCAGTGTCAAAATTCAATAATAAAAGTTGATGGATGAACACCTCAGCCCACCCTTTGGCTAGACAATTCCCCATGCATATTTTAAAGAAGTACCAGGCGGTTCAAGCATCCATTTATAGTAGTGACCTCGGTAACAACCATATTGAATTTTCTGTCTCCTTTTTCACTCTCTTTGCTCTTTCTTTCTGTTTTCTAGAAGCATGTCTGATACTACTGTTACGGGAAACTGAGTCAGGGGACTGGCTAGAAGGCACTAAGAGACTCCTTTGGAGAAATTGGGAAAGTTTATTCACACTAGCAGACTTGAATAGAGTTACCGCTCAAATAACTTGAGCCCTAAGTTGATCCCTTTACAGAGTTTATAAAACCCTCATCGTTACAGCACCCGTGGGTTTACAGCCTCCGTGACTATTAGCATAGATGCTCACGTAACCTAAGACCACTAAAGGAAATTTCTTCTGCAAGCATGTTTGCAGTGGCAGATATGTAGGGCAGGAGTTAAGATAGATAAATATATTTTTTTACAGAGCTTTCTGGCTGTTGCCTTAGCAGGCAAGGCGGTTACACACAGATTTCCCACTAGATAACTGTGATGTTTATTTCTTAACATTGCTTTCTCTGTTTTCGTTTTGATTTCTTTTTCAACACAAATTTTTGTAAGCATTTATAAAACTACTATAAGGTGAGTATTATGTTCTAAGCTATAAAATTACTCATAAGACCATATTAGACACACACACACACACACACACACAATGACATTAGAAGCATGGCTATATTTATTTTCTCCATCACTAATTCATCTAAGTCCTTGTCTTAGACTCTGCTTCCAGCATACTCAGCTCAGTATAGCAAGCATTTCTCACATAAGCCACTGCCTTATGCTTATAGGAATCTAATATATTTATGGACATTACTAAAGACCACCAGGGGAATGCCTATGGTCACACAAAGCTGGATTCATTAACCAGTGACAGCCAAGGAAACCATATCAAAGCATTTACTGTTTGAAAAGGAGAGAGAAATTGTATTTATAATGTGGGGTTCCTGGTGGTTTTCATAAGATGGTTTTAAAGGCAGAGGCTGTTCAGGAATCACATCCTTAGAACACGGGAGTTCATGCAGTTAGAGAACCATCTGGTAACACATGGGCTGAAGAAACTGGTTTTACAACAATTGAACCTTAGAGAGATTGTGATGCCTATTCAAGGCTGGGCTGGTACAGTTAATTTTCTTCATGTTTCACATGTTAACATTTTTCTTTTTTTAAAAAAAGTATTTATTTATTTATTCATTTATTTATTTTTTACATGCATGAGTGTATTGTCTGTATGTGTGTAGGCATACCTGTGTGGTGCAATGCCTGTGGAGGTCAGAAGAAGGTGTCAGATTCCCTGAAACTGCAGTTATGGATGGCTGTTAGCTGCCATGTGGGTGCTGGGAATTGAACCAGGTTCCTCTACAAGAGCAGTCAGTACTCTTAACTGCTGAGCCCTCTCTCCGGTCCCACATGTTAACAGTTTTCATTGTCTCTCTGTCAATTCTTGGTTCTCCATTCATGTTTAGCTGCCCACAGGAACATTTCCCTTCCCCTTTTAACTTTCTAGGTCTCTGTTAGGAATTGTCAGGCACGATGTATGGATGGGTTAGGTATGTAGATAGACAGACAGACATGTGCATAATGCAGAGAAAATGGGACTTAAATTAAGGAATTGGATTGCATGATTATAGATGCTAGTCAATCCCAGTTTTTAGGGTCAGCTGCCAGCAGGCATTCCAAGGAAGAAACAAGGAAAAACAGTGCCAGTATCACAGTTTGGTCCTCGAGCTGTCTGTACGTGCTGCGGAATTTCTTCTTGTTTTTCTTCAGTCCTCAATTGATTGAGTAAGGCTGGTCAAGAGGACATTCTGCTTTATTCAAAGCGCACTGATTTAAATGTTAACGTCACTCAAAAACACACCATTGTGAAAACATCTAGAAAAATATTTGTGAGATTATCTAGAGGTCATGGCCCAGCTAAGCTGATATATGTCAGCCATCACAGCGTCATTTGATTTTTGTCTCATATCCGTGATTACCACTTTATTACTCCAAATCAGAGAGATCTTGCTAAACTATTGTCTGATAGTCACAGAAAGATCTATGACGTTCATTTGTATTTCTTCCCCATTTTTCCATTTTGACTTTGGAAATGAAGCTTATTATAAGGTTGTAATTAGGAAAAATGCTGAGAAAATGTGTGACTTAACCAAGTGTGTACGATGACAGAAAATCTTGCTGTTCCCCTGCTATCTCACCAGTGTAAAAGGGACTTGAAGGCTGTAAAACCATAGGCCTGTTGTAAACTTAATAACAATGCATTATAATTCTGTTACTTCAAACTAAATATCATTCTCTTAGAGCTATTTTTCAAGCCTTAACCATGTGTTTTCTTTAACCCAACGTATCTAAAAAGAAATAGCTTTACCACATTCTTGATATAAAATTGACAATAAAATATTTTATATCATTTTAATGGTTTTTTATTGTGGTGGATATAGTTCACGAATTTTACCACTTTAACCATGAAGTATACACTAAGCATATTAATATTATTCTACAGTTATTACTACTATACGTTTCCAGATCAGTTTCCTCATTCTGCTCAACACAACAGAAATATCCTATCATGAAATAAGTTCATTCAACATTCCTACAGTTGTACAAACCTTGTCTGTCAGGCCCTTGTGCTGATGGTAAAGAAGACTGGAGAATTTCTTCCATATTCACACATTATTTTATAGGATTTTACAAAAATAAAAATAGATATAACACTGAAAATCTTAAGACAGAATATTAATTTTGATACCTGCATGAAGACTCAGACAATATCATATGACATAATTTCAAAATATTGGAAAGATACAAAAAACAATAAAAAGAAGAAATAATCAAGACCATGTAAGAGACAAATAGATCCAAACCTTCTTCTTTCATCTGGAGAGAAGTATCTGCCTTGAAGAGCAAGTGAATTGGAGTTCGCCATTTTCAACTCGGCAGCGTTATCTCTTGGCTCAAATACAAAGACGTTCATTTTAGTCCGCAGCAGAGAGAAAACAGGGTTTGTACAGGCAGAGGAAATAAACGGCAGATGTTAAACAGGAAGCAATATAACTTGGTAGTAAAAGTAAGTGCATTCAATTCTCAAATTTAATTTAACTTGGCACAGCACAAACAAGTCACCTCGCTAATGAAAACTTCATTTCTGTCACGTCATGAGGGGCAACCTACCCTAGAAACAGGAAAAGATCACCAAAAATTTGAAAAACAGTTATCATAGAGCCTGGAACATGATAAACATACAAGATTCATTCAAAAGCATTGTTATTTAGGGGTCGGATAAGTTCCCAGGTAGTGAGTAGCAGGCCAGAAATGAGGCAAGGCATAGTTTCCATAAACCGTCAGCTTCGCGTTCCATGTTTTAAAGGTTACACATAACAGCTGAAGAATGTCTTTACAACAAAGAAAGTAGGAACAAAACCAAATCATTGGAAATTTAAACACATTTCAGTGAAGTCACAGGCCTTATTAGATTAGTTTCAGTCACATAGACCTATTATTTTACTTAGTAGTATAAGCATGTCTCATTTTACAACAGTCTTTAAACCACATAATAATTCATTAGAAAGGGTTATTTCACATTATATTCCGGGAAGTAGATGGATCGTACTTTAGTTTACTATGCCAGTCAGGGAAAAGCACTCATGTGCTCACGGGTGACTGGAATTAAGCAAGTGTGATGAAATGACTATATCAAACCAGCTAGGACAAGGGGTAATGGAGTGATAAATGTCATGTGTTTCCTCCAGCCTCTATGTCCTTGTCACAGTTGATCTTGAACATAGCCAGCACTCGTGTTCTGATCTGTTTGGTCTTGGCACCATAGATGATGGGATTGATCACAGGAGGCAGCAGCAGGTAGACATCCCCCATGAGAACGTGTACAATAGGATCTAGGCTCTTTCCAAAGCGGTGCACCACAGAGAGGCCGATGAGTGGCACATAGAAAGCCAGGACCACACCGATGTGTGACACACAGGTCCCAAAGGCTTTAGCTCGCTCGGATTTGGAAGGCAGTTGCAGAACAGTTCGTATAATCAGAAAATAGGACAAGGAGATGAACATGACATCCACACCCATGACCAGAAGAATGGCCGTGAGACCATAGACTACATTGGGCAATGTGTCTGCATAGGCCAACTTCATCACATCCTGGTGCACACAGTAGGAATGGGAGAGCACGTTGGAGTGGCAGAAGGCTAGCCGCTTGATCAGCAGTGGAAGTGGGAAAAAGAAGAGGGTTCCCCGGACCAGAGCAACCACACCAATCTGGGCAGTAACCGTATTGTTGAGAACAGCGGCGTGGCGCAGCGGGTGGCAGATGGCCACGTAACGGTCAAAGGCCATGGCCAGGAGGATGGTGGATTCGATGGCTGAGAGAGCATGGATGAAGAACATCTGTGCAAGACAGGCATCAAAAGTAATCTCCCGAGAGTCAAACCAGAAGAGGGCGAGGATCTTGGGCATGGTGGATGTAGATAAGGCCAGGTCAATGGCTGCCAGCATGCAGAGAAATAGGTACATGGGTGCATGCAGGCTCCGCTCAGTCCTCACGATGAAGACCACGATGCAGTTCCCAAACAATGCCACGGCATACATTGAAAGCAGAGGGAAGCCGAACCAGAAGTGGGCTTCCTCTAGTCCTGGGATGCCAATAAGCACAAAGGTGGCATGTGTGAAGTTGCAGGAGCTCATCACTGGCATTGAGTGGGAGGACCGGAGAGGGTAAGGTCACACTGACAACCTGCTAGGACACAGAGCACAATCAGAGAGTCCCCTGGAAACCTGGGGTGTGAGTGCAGCTTAGCACTCCCTCACATTCATCTCCACCTCCACTTACCCTGTAACCAAATTCATAAGCTGCAAGACCCTCTTTCCAAAGAAAGGACCCGACATCTCAAAATTAGTCTCTACTCTCAAGGTCTAAGTTTTCTAAGTAGAACCTTGAGGAAAAATATTTATACCAAAAATGTAGCTTCCCTGAATTTCCTCGGATTTTCTTCATGCCCTGTGCTATTTTTTTTTCCCGTCTTTTTGAGACAGGGTCTTGCTGCTCCAGCTGGTCTGGAACTCACTATGTAGACCAGGCTAGCCTTGAACTCACAGAGAGCTGCCTGCCTCTGCCTCCCTAATGCTGGGATTAAAGGCATGCAACACTGTGCCTGGCATGCCCTGTACCCTAATTGTCTTTATAGTATTTGCCACTTTTTTTCGTAAAATTACCTTACTGGTATCTCCTTTGACATAAAGCTGTTCTCCCTCCCTTCCTCCGTCTCATCCTTTCTCTCTTCCTCCTTCTTTCCTTCACTTTCTCTTTATTTCTGCTTTCCTTTCTCCTCCATTCTTTCTGTCTCTCCCCACTTCCTTGCTCTTTTATTGAGAAGTATTTACTTATATGACTGACCATGAACAGGGCTATTTGTGAGACTCTGTCAATGCAGATTAGGCTTATTCCCCTTGACCTGTACATGGCTTGTCTGAGGCTGAAGACAACCATACATAAACACACTGTAGAGCTGGAGAGATGGCTCAGCAGTTAAGAACACTGTTCTTGCAGAAGACCCAGGTTCGAATCCCAGCACCCACATGGCAGCTAACAACTGTCCATAACTCCAGTTCCAGGGGATCTGACAGTCTCTTCTGTCCTCCACGGGCATTGCACAATATGGGTGCACTTACCTACATGCAGGCAATACACACATACACATAAAATAAAAATAATAAATAAAATATATATTTTTTTAAAAATTCAAAGAGCACTGTGAAAATGCTAGTATAGAGATACAGTGAGTGCAGGGAAAGGAGAGGGGTGACCAGAGGAGTGTTCTTGTTTTAGTCTTGAAACTTGAGCATAATTAGACAAGATAGAGGTTAGAATAAATGATGTTTCAACTAGGTGAGAATAGGAATTATTTTTCAAATTTTCAGGATTCTAGGTCTTCAGTTCTAGGGTCAGTAAGGGGATAGAGAAACACAACAGCAATTAAGAAAAAAGCTAAAAAGAAAACAAAAGCTAAGAAAAGAAGGCCAAAGACAATCCCGTAGAAAAATAAAGTTCATCTTGGATCATAACATCAAATGCAGCAGCTCCTGCTGATGATCTCTTTATAGATGGAGGTGCTGACAAGATTCAAGACCTCCAGCAGATCTAGTTGCTGGACATGTTCCCTGTGACAGCTTCCCCCTCTGTTCCTGGCCAGTGGGTGCCTATATGCCTGGAAGTCACTTCCAGGGCCACTCTGATTTCTCCCAAAGACAGCGTTAAGTACAGCCCTGACTTTGGGAGAGGTACTACTGATTTTACAATGATATTCTGAAATGATTTCTTGGAGCCTGTGACAACAAATCTCTGTTACTCAGGGAAATTCTCTCTCTCTCTGTCTCTCTCTCTCTCTCTTTCTCTCTCTGTCTCTCTGATTCTGAAGCCCAATGTTGCTTTGCTAGAAACCCAAATCTCACCTGGGCCCTGGGCTCTGGGCTCTGACATAAAACTCTTTCTCTATCAAGCTTCCTAATGCCCTGGGCTTTATCTTTAAGAGCAACTGACTTGGCTATGACAAGCAGGGGTGCTGAGGCTTAGAAAGAGCCACAGGTGTCTCCATTGACAGTATCCACGTTAATCTGTTTTTTCTTCCCAGGATTTTTCTTCAATTCTAACCCAGGTCCTTACTACAGCTGAAAGATGCCTTTCAGCTTGACCTTATTGGTGAGAGTTTAGAGACCAAAAACCTCAAAACACAATATGATAAAGTGAGAACTAAGAGATTTTCACTGGATTCTCTTTACCTTGGACAAGCAAAGATGAACAGATTCGAAGGTTACAAAATCCACATCACTGACCTCTATTTTCTCCATCCTTAGAACTTGTACAGATAAAAGAACAGCTTCTACTCCTTGACAGATACCAAATTTCAAAACAGACCACCTGCTGCTATCGGAGCATGAAAAAGCAATTTTCAAAGACATAACTACCATCTCCAATAAGACATAAGATCACTTTTACTTTGGATCCATTCATCTATGTATCTGTCATAAATAGATTGTGGGAAGGAATGCTGAAATCCAAGCGAATGATGCTGTGTGGTATGGGACAGAGAGCTAAGTAAGCTTACCTGGAAAGAGGCCATGTCACTCAACCACTGTGCCCAGAGAAGTGGGGCCCAGCATGAAAACAAAGTAGATGGAAGTGTGTCGAGAGGCACACAATGATGCCTTCTCTTTCTCAAGGCTTTTATAACATTGACATACTCAAGTGCTTCTCTAATTCAGAGTCAGGCACTTTATTAAAAATTTTTTTGATCTATTTAATTTTATTTTATGTGTATGAATGTTTGCCTGCGTGTATATAAGTGTACCTGTGTCATGCAATGCCTGCAGATCCCAGAAGAGGGTGTTGTATCCCCTGGAACTGGAGTTACAGATGGTTAGTGGCCATGTGGGTTTAGAGGGCCAAATCTGGGTCTTCCGAAAGAGCAGCTAGGCTTTTAAACTGTGGGACCATCTCTCTAGCCCTGAGTCGGTACTTTTTTATCCCTCTCTTGACAAAATACTCTTTCTGCTTTGATAATACTTGAAGCACAGATCTGGTTTTTGTTTTATTTTATTTTGAAGAAGGTATAATGAGGATACATGAGCTGAAAAAAAAATCTATCAACATTGGTAAAATAGCAAGGTTCTAGCCTGTAATAGCAGTCTACAAAACTAATAATCAAGTATCTAAAAGTGATACCACAAAAACCATTTTATTCACAATAGTGTTGAAGATAATAGATTTAACAAATATGGGTGCATAATTTGTACACTGGAATCCCCAAGCCATGGCTACAAGAAAATAATCACAATATTTGACGAATGCAATATTCATGGACTAGAATGAGAAATTTTGTTAAGATTGCAGTTTTCCCTAAGCTGATATACAGAGTTACCATAATCCATATTGAAGTTATTTAAGCTCTTTTAAAATTTTATTTTTAAAGTTAGAATACAAGGTGAAAGGTATTATTAAGATTTCCATGTTATCATGGTTTGCTCCTCTTCGACTCCTGGCCACCCACTTGCAGGTCCCCTTCATCACCCCCGCCGAATTGTCCCCCATTCTGCTTTCACGTCATGTATTCTATAATCCTTCTCCCTTCCTTTCCCTGAAGAGCTCTTTTCTCTCCTCTCATAGCTCACTTTTTTACATTCACACACACACACACACACACACACACACACACACACACACATCTGATTTCTGCATATGTGAGAAAGAATAATATTCATCATTCTGAGTCTGGCTTATTCTGATTAACATAATGATCTCCAGTTTCATCCATTTTCCTGTAAATGTTATGATGTGTTCTTCTTTACAGCTAGATAAAATTCCATTGTGCATATGTACCACATTTTCTTTATCCATCTGTTGGTGGATATCTAGGCTGATTCTATTCTTAGCTACTGTGAAACAGCACTTTTAGGCCACATTCTTACCTCCCAATACCTGTCTTGCAAGTTGTCAGGCTTCCTGTCAAAAGCGACTCCCTGCTAGACTCAGCTTCTCTTTGGCTCTGGATGTGGCTGTTGCCTTTCATCTCACTTGCCTTTCTGGACCGTCAGCTAAGGCTCTGGGGCATGCCTTATGATGAAGTAGTTTGTAGAGTCTTCAAGATCCTGTGGGGTGGCAGGAGCTTTGGGCTGCCACACTTTTGTTGAGGGGGCACTCACCTGAGAATGAGGTAGGGAGAGCAGCTGGATCTGGCTTTCTCTTTCTGTAGCAGGCCTTTTTATAATGCTACACAGAAGGCTCAAGGAGCAGGCTGTGGGAATATGAGCCGAGGCTCCAGGGACCTGGCAGACAGAGAAGTAAAATGTCCATATCCACTCTCACAGGCCCCCAGTGCTCCTGTTTAGGGATGCGATCTCAAAGGGCCACTATCTCTGCTACCATTCTCATAACGACATGTGAATCTCTTGACCTGTTCCGAGTCCCCCAAGCTGATCCAGTTTCCATAGTCAGCACAGGGTTAGTGTTTCCTCATTAACTGCTCTGCTAGACACATCAGGCAAAGGAGATGGATAGTTACAATCCTTGAACTTTTGGAACTTGCATTAAAACCCAAGTAGTACCTACTGCTAAAATGCAGCCCAACAATTCAAAACAGGCCCAAGTACTTCTTTCTCCCACTTGTACTGCAGTTTAAAAATAGGCCTTGAAAGAGCGAAGTCACTCCTAAATGCAGCACCAGTGTCACAGGAAAATGATGTGAGAAGGTGCCTTGGTCACAGAGAGATGTTGTTGGATGGAGACTCTCATACTCTCACATTCAACATGTGTTTGTCAAGAGCAAAACGGAGACTATTCCCAGGGTACTGAGTGTAGTTTCTGATGAGAGGTGCATAAATGAATGAAGTTAAAATATAAACTAAATAAATGACAGATGTCATAAGGAGAACACTACGAATGGAAGGAACATGTTAAACTGGAGGGAACTGAAAATTTAGGTGAAGTTGCCTAGTGGAAATATTTGGAGAGAGACCTGAGAACTGAGAGATATATCCATGGGGATATCTGGGGAAGATTGAGGAAGAATCAGAAATGACAAATGTTCCCAAAGAGGGAGTATGTCTAGTGGGTAAGAACAAGGAAGCCAGTATACCGGAGCAGAGAGAACATGGGGAGAGATGGAGGGTTCAAGGAAGACTTGGAAGTGGGCCTTGTAGGAGCTTATAGCACTCACAGTCTATTTAATTCCAT